CAATGCTCTGACAGGGCATAAGGATAATTCCTGTGTATCCTGTGGCCCAAGGACTGTAGATAGTGCAGGGATGTGGAACTGTCTGTCAGGCTGGCCGGGCAGTTGGTTCTTGGCAATAAAGTCCCATCTCAGTCCTAGATGTACGATGTCACGATGTCTTGCTTCAAATCGTGTTCGTTCAAAGTCCAGAGCATGTATTTCTGACATCCGTGCTGCTGTTGCTATGGTGATCAGGAACAGCGTTTTCTGTGTCAGTAGTTCAAAGGATGTCCGTTCTAGAGGCTCGTGAGGCCACTGGTGAGATGTTATAGAACTATGTTGAGATCCCAGGCAGGAGCCTTGAATTTCTTTTGTTGGTCTTCCAATTTGAATGAGCCGTAGAAGTGCCAGTATCTCTGGTACTTTGGTCAGCTTGACACCCGTCTTCATGGTGATAACTGTGCTAAGAGCAGCCAGGTACATTGAGAGTGTTGAACCTTTTATGTCTCGTCTGTCGCAAATGACACAGGTATTCCGCCACTTGAGGATGGGTTGCCTTACCGCTGTAAAGCCTTTCCTTGTTGCATACTGTTAAAATCTCTGCAACTTGTGGATCTGCGTAGAGCTAGTGTCACTGCTTTTGCTGCTCAGGCGGAGAACCCTCTAGTCCTCAGGCAAACTTTGATACGCTCCACATGTGTAGTTGGAACAATGCCAGATTCCCGTGAGCTTGCTTGGTGTGTGGATGGACGCGCAGGTTCAACCACTCTGGTAGTTTCAGGGTTGGACTTCCGAGTTCTTGTATGAGGACGGGAAACCATACCCTCGCTGGTCAATAGGGCACGACCCAAATCAGTTGCAACGTTGTCGTCTGCTTGATTTTCTGTATTACTTGTTGTAATAGTGCTGGAGGTGGAAACACGTAAGCATTTAGTCCTTCCCATGAGATACTTAAAGCATCTGTTGCCCATGCCTCAGGATCCGGAATCGGTGAGACGAATGTTGGTAGTTGTTCGTTGAACTTTGTTGCAAACAGGTCTATCAGCGGAGATCCTACTGTCTGTATGATGAACTGGAACACTTCTGGATGTAACATCCATTCCGTCAGGGATGGTTGTAGTGGACGAGATAGGGCGTCTGCTATGACATTCTTTGCTCCTGGAATGTGACATGCCTTCATGTAGATGTTCAAGTCGTCGACGATGCCGAACAGGAGAAAGCTGAGTTTTAGCAGACTTGTCGACCTTGTTGATCCTTGTTTGTTGATGTAGAACGCTACTGTGGAGTTGTCCGTGTGGACCGTGAGCCTTGCATTCCTTAGTATGCTGGAACAGTGTTGTAAAGCGTTGATCACTGCTTTCATCTCCAACAATGTGCAGAATTTGATCCTGACTCGACCACTTTCCTGCTGCCACTTCGTTGTCGAGGTGAGCACCCCATCCTTGTAGTGATGCATCCACGTAGAGCTGAGTGTTGGAAACCAGCTCTGACAAAAAGGTTCCTCCGCAAACATTCAATTCTGAGTCCACCATAGGAGTTATGGTTTCAGGCTGTCCTGTAGTATCAGTGGATCCAAACTGTCGAGATGGGCGTTCACAAATATTGTAGTGGGCGCAGCTCTAATCTCCCTCTGCGAGTCATGTCTTGAGCTGAGGTGAGTAGACCAAGCATGCTTTGCCAAGCACGTAGTGTCAACGGAGAGAGCATTGCTTGAGATACCATGTTGTATCCAACGAGCCTCTGGGACGACCGTGTGATTATGTGGTGTGATGAGCCATATTCCCAGGAACTGAAGATCCTGTTTTGGTTCCAACTCCGATTAGGAGATTACTAGCCATCTACTGCAATCATGTCCTATGTAGTAGGTACGTGGATCTACAATAGATTCTGGAATCATGGCTTGAAGCTTTTCTCATCAATCTTCCGGTAATATGTAATGAAGATGTTGTCACCAGAATCCGAACAATGTGCAGCGAGGATGCATAATACGTCGTCTGTAGATCAGCAAAAATCTATGACGTACTGGGACTGCCATCGATGTGAGGTCTATTTATAGTCGACCGGCGCTGCCGCGAGCAGAAACCGCTGCAAGTCCCCAGATAACCAATATTAAATCTGCTGACAGGGGAAGTCCTCTATGACCTGTGAAGATAGTGGAACCACGCGGTAACCTGCTAACTGGACTGTAAATGGAGCCTTCCCCACATTGAAAGAGTTGTTTACAACTGTAGACGACTTCCTGGCACGTGACTATGACCGAGTACTGCGGAGGGCGTTGTCTCTCATGGACCAATCAGATTACAGATGTGACGTCACCGGTGTTGCAGGTAAATGATCCTCGTAGAATCTTGTGCAGTCGCTGATTTCTTCATCAACACTCGGCCTTGTCCGTAACTCTCTGTTCGGCTTGTGCCGGTGTTACACGAGTGAACACGTGTCTAGATGACTGAGTGGAAGCGCACGAAAACTTCGCCGCATAGTACCGATGTAAGCAGACTGTTCCCTGTCTGTTGTGACTGTATTCTTCAACTTTATAATCTTTACTGCAGTCGTCATCTCATACAGATGTTCTGTAAAGTTTACCGTAACCGATGTCTCGCTGAGGAACTGCGACAATGCTGTTAACTGTCCCCTTGATATCTTGTAAGCCCATGTGATGAAAATTCATCTTCAGTGTTTCATCGGCTGTTATCTGACATCGTTACTTCAGGTGTGCGTCTCTTCTTTCAGCCACACGTTGATCCAACATAGCCAACATCTAGTTGTAGTGTCCAGTTGTGTTATCTTCTTATCTTCCATCTTGAAGATCTATTACGGGATTCACTGATGATCTTGTAATCTCAAACCCTGATGTTATCATGAAGGGCTCAGTATGATGAAGGGTAAATCTGCTATCGTTGAATGGCGGGACATGCTGACTCTGATTATAATCCTCCCCGTGAGTGCCTGTGCGCAGGTTGAAGAAGGTCTAAGTTGGAAGATCCGTATGTGCGCAGTCTGTAGAAACCTGGAGAACGACTGGATCTACTTCTGTGTTAGAATCCTTCCTGCTGAGACGCTGAAACTGCTTGGAGGCTCCATCGTGGACTGCTAATGCTAAGCTGGCGTTTGTTGAATCCTCCAGGCTTCTAACTGCTGATACTTCTGACGGTTAAGATCTTCGCGATCGTAACCGTTCGTGCAGGCCTTCATCCGAGAGAGATTGCATAGCTAATATTCCTTTGCGCAGGGAGATTGTCATCGGAGGGTTCTGCTATGCTGAGCTGACGTTAGTACAGTTCTCCAGACTTCTAACTTCAGACGGTGAAGTTGGACATTTCTCTATCTGAAGATCATAATGACGTGAGTCTCTGTATGTAGATCTGTATGTAGAGCTGCATGCAGGTGAACGGTCCCGGTGTGACCGTGTATTCCTCCTGGAGTCTTGAGATATCTCTCTAAGCCTTCATGAAGACTGATTGATGTAATGTCCCCTCTGTAAGATGTGGAGTGCCGGCGCGCAGGTTCCGGATGTGAGTCTAAGTCCGACGGTGATGACGATCCATATCTGCGGCGTCTGTAGGCGTCTGGAGAGTGCTTCAATCTGCTTCTGTGTGGAGAATCTTACAGGCTCCTTCAGGGACGTCTAAGGCTGAGCTGATGTTGGTAGCATTGTCCAGACTTCTAGCTCCAGACGTTGAAGATCGTCAGGTGTGTGGGCCTTCGCGCAGGCTTTCCTCTTCATCCAGGTGCGTTGGAGAGGCTGCTGAACCTTCGCGCAGCCTTGTAGTCGTAGTAGTGGTCTCCGTAGCTGATTCCTCCTGCGCGAAGTGACGTTCCATCATCGACATCATCTGGTCTGTAAACTGTTGCATAAACAGCCCCGGGTTGAAGTTCTGCGATGTCTGAAGAGACTGCTGCAGAGTTGATGATGCTTCTAACAACGACGAGGCGTCTTCTAAAGCACGCTGCACTTGTGAAGAGTTGACGCTGCTGCTATCTCTGGTACCCGATGTCTGCATTGATTGAAGGTCTTCTGTCCTGTGCCGTATAGGGACGCAGGTGCTCTCACAACCGTCCTCAAGCGCAAAAGGAGAGAGGATGACAAAACATGGCTGGTCATGTGACCAAAAGAGCGCCAATGAGGCAAGGGAGGCAACTCGTGGGTGAGTGATGATTGTACGTCTGCTTTTTAGAAGGGAACTTCAAGGGATTTCATTCGCAAGGAGAAGGAGACAAGCATTTAGCATGAGTCAGGATAAGGAAAAATAATGTAATATGTAAAGCATATGTTCCAGTATTGTGCATTGTAAAAGATATAATCAACATTTTTCAGGTACAGTCCAACATTGTGCTGTTTTACTAAACAAGGTATTAGACAGATAACACACAATTCTCCCACCATACAATCATCATTGGTTCCCACGGGAACTTGTGATGCTGAAGACCACAAGTATCTCTCAAAGGAATTCACCTTGACAACTTTCTTCTTCTTTTTCTTTGGTGGAGGTTTTGTTTTCTTTGGCTTCCTCTCCACATTACTGCCGCTGTCCTGGTCATTGTCTTTATCATTGTCATCATCATCGTCATCTTCATCATCATCATCTGGATCATCTTCTGTGGATGTGAAGCGTTTCCGTTTTCTCTGCCAGCTGTGACGACGCTTTGAGGTTGCAGATTACTGCCTGTATCCCCATCCAATCGAATACTCATCAGAGTCACTGTAAGCAACCAACATCATTGTTAATGTTCCTTTAATCACATAGATACGCTCAATGCACATCTACCATATTGGTGCTGCACTGAATACTTCCATAAAAATGACACAAGTGTATCAGAGATTCCATATTGTTTCACTTCACATAAACATTTAAATAACACAGGTGACACCAAGATGTCATTTTCCGGTTAGAACAAGGGGAGATAACTCTTCTAACCTCCACTGACACACATCTGTACAATGAATGTCAGCATGACTGTAATAAACCTATTAAAACATATTTCCATCTGACTTGCAAACCAAAGTGAAATATTACTACTACCTTTCATGCATGAAGTCAGATCCTGAGCTGTTACCTTCTTCATCCTGAAACAAAGTATCAATCCTTTATCCATCACTTAAAACAATATTCCATCCTTTGGCAAGATAACAGCCATTATGCAAAAGATTCGATAAAAATGATGGAGAGAGACAAGTTCAAGGGGGCAGTGTCCTAATCTCACCTCTTCCTCTTCAGTGTCGTACAGTGCTCGGGTAAACAATCTATTTCTGGCTGTTTCCTCATTCTCCGCGGTATTGGCACCTGTAGCTTGAGCCTGCTTGCGTTTATCCTTCGATGCAGCAGAGTGGGTCTAAAGAAACATGTAATGTCAAAGTTTAACACAAGATCATGGCTCCTATATCATAATGCCAAGTCACTGAAAACACAAGTTCAAATGCTGATGCTTAGGTAGTGGCAAAATTAGAAGTGTTGCATCAAGATGAGTGCACCTTCAATTATGAAGAGGATTGTTTGGAAGATTGTACAGCTCTTACCCCATGTGGAGAATTGGGTTTCTTTTTCCTCTCAAAGACAAATTTCTTAAACTCTTCATCAGCAAATGCTAGTCTCTTCTCCTCGTGTCGCCTATAAATAATAACACTTTTATTATCTTACTTGAACAATACAGACTTGCCTCAACACCTAGGAACACCCCTGATACACACAAGCCTGAACACCCAGCATCACCAACACATACTTGTCTGAACACCTGGTATCACAACACATACTTGACTGAACACCTGGTATCACCAACACATACTTGACTGAACACCCAGCATCACCAACACATACTTGTCTCAACACCTGGTATCACCAACACATACTTGACTGAACACCTGGTATCACCAACACATACTTGTCTGAACACCTGGTATCACCAACACATACTTGTCTCAACACATACTTGACTGAACACCTGGTATCACCAACACATACTTGACTGAACACCTGGTATCACCAACACATACTTGACTGAACACCTGGTATCACCAACACATACTTGTCTGAACACCCAGCATCACCAACACATACTTGTCTGAACACCTGGTATCACCAACACATACTTGTCTCAACACCTGGTATCACCAACACATACTTGACTGAACACCTGGTATCACCAACACATACTTGTCTCAACACCTGGTATCACCAACACATACTTGACTGAACACCTGGTATCACCAACACATACTTGTCTGAACACCTGGTATCACCAACACATACTTGTCTGAACACCTGGTATCACCAACATACTTGTCTCAACACCTGACTGAACACCTGGTATCACCAACACATACTTGACTGAACACCTGGTATCACCAACACATACTTGTCTCAACACCTGGTATCACCAACACATACTTGTCTCAACACCCAGGAACACCAACACAAACTGGACTGAACACCTGGTATCACCAACATACTTGTCTCAACACCCAGGAACACCAACACATACTTGACTGAACACCTGGTATCACCACATACTTGTCTCAACACCTGGTAACACCAACACATACTTGACTGAACTCACCAACACATACTTGTCTCAACACCCAATCACCAACACATATGCTTGACACCTGTAACAACACTGGTATCACCAACACATACTTGACTGAACACCCAGTGTCACCAATACTTGTCTCACACCTGGTATCACCAACACATACTTGTCTCAACACCTAGGAACACCAACACAAACTGGACTGAACACCTGGTATCACCAACATACTTGTCTCAACACCCAGGAACACCAACACATACTTGACTGAACACCTGGTATCACCAACACATACTTGTCTCAACACCCAAGAACACCAACACATACTTGACTGAACACCTGGTATCACCAACACATACTTGTCTCAACACCTGGTATCACCAACACATACTTGTCTCAACACCTGGTATCACCAACACATACTTGTCTGAACACCTGGTATCACCAACACATACTTGTCTCAACACCTGGGATCACCAACACATACTTGACTGAACACCTGGTATCACCAACACATACTTGACTGAACACCTGGTATCACCAACACATACTTGACTGAACACCTGGTATCACCAACACATACTTGACTGAACACCTGGTATCACCAACACATACTTGTCTGAACACCTGGTATCACCAACACATACTTGTCTCAACACCTGGTATCACCAACACATACTTGTCTCAACACCTGGTATCACCAACACATACTTGTCTCAACACCTGGTATCACCAACACATACTTGTCTCAACACCTGAGATCACCAACACATACTTGTCTCAACACCTGGTATCACCAACACATACTTGACTGAACACCTGGTATCACCAACACATACTTGTCTCAACACCTGGTATTACCAACACATACTTGTCTGAACACCTAATAATACCAACAAAACATGCCTGTTTGAACATGAAGCAATACCCTCTATAAAACAGGAATGCCATTTAGTTAATACTTGACTGAATGCTAAAAGGACTAGAATGATAGGACAACATGGAAAGTTCAACATGTGCAAGTCCTTACCACATGACTTCTGGATCTAGTGGCTTGACGACAACTCTTCTCTTCAAGGCTGCTATATCACTCTTTGTGGCTCTGAGTGTGACATTGCCAAGTGACTGCCTCACTCCCTCCGTCTCCCCACTGCGACGCATTCCAACACGACCTGCCGTAACCAACACATAACCAATAACATCATGGCATTCAAACACATTTCTATCAGTAATCATGTCACGCCATATTAACTAACTGACCCTGTCTTATATCAGCTCTGATAAGAAACAAGTGATACTCTCACATCTGACATACATACTGCTCCATGCCAATGTGACTCACCCTGATTGTTCCTGGTGGACCTAGGGGACACGAAGGGTGGGGGTGAGCCTACAGGTGGGGGTGAGGCCAGGGGTTCCCCTCCCTCCAGGGCAATCCGATGATCCTGCTCCAGCTGCAGTCTCTGTATCATGGCATCGAGGCTTGGACGGACTCTCTCTATAACAGCTGGCTCGGGCATGGGGCCGCCTAATGGTTCACCATCACCAATAACCTCAGATGATCCTGATCACAACAAAAGCAAAGCAACATTAAGTTGCCATCATTTAGTCACAAATTGAACATATAAATATACTGAAAAGAGAACACAGGATGTTATGACAGCATATTCTGCCATGACGGATGATCCGCTGCGGTAAGTTTGAAGATAATGTATTCCATCATGTCATCAACAGTGTATCAACATCATCACACCTCATCCCACCAAACACTCTAATAGTTTGTTTCTTTGCTGTCTTATGCTGAACTCAGCAATATTCCTGCCATATGACTGCAGTCTGTAAATAATCAAATCTGGACCAGACAATCAACAGATTGAAACCAGGAAGTTTGATCTACACTACCGAGATATGATGACATACATGTCCAGCTAGTCTGACCACCCGATCCAGTTAGCCACCTCTTAAGACAAGCATGGGCTGCTGAATACCAATGCTACACCATGTTCAGCTGCTATGAGAATTTACAGGAGGGTGCGACTGCAATTAGCGGGGCGTTTCCAATGTGAAAGACCATAAATTTCAGTTGAATAATCCTGTGTGTTTGCAAATTCAAACTGTTAAACACCCATCACTCCAGGGTTTAAATTAGGACATTAAGGCTGTTTTCAGGGAGTCCTCACCGTCCCACTCAAACACTCAGATGTATGACAAGCACAAGTGTAAGCCACATACAGTGAGCAAAGTTGGTTCCACCTAACAAACAGAGAAATACAGCCATCTACACACTGTACAAGGCAGATACAGTGTAATGTTAGATATAATCATTAAAATGTAGGTAGGACTCTTTTTGCCAATAAAGTTATTCCACTGCTCTTGTAAATGTATAATATTTGAAACAGTTATAAACATGAATCAATAGTGTGTATTCTCATCTGAAAATATTATTGATGCACCGAAGTACTAGTAAATCGCACAAACCCTTCAGGATATCTACTGAACCTTCTTCAGGCCCAAGACAGTATGCACCTGGTTCTAATCTGGTATTCTAACGACAAGATGGTCATCATCTGCAGGCATTCCTCATGCATTGAAGCTGGTGATTTGCTGCACGGATGGCAAAGGCCATCAACATCTTCAACAGGATAGCCTTTCAAAAATAACTTGGATTAGGTCCATCACTGACTGTGCTCTATAGCTAGCATTACTGCCATTACCGTTTGTGCTGTATAACTGGGATTACTGCCATTATCGCTTGCTGTGCTGTGATTACTGCCATTACCGCCTGTGCTTCATAATGTTACTGTGCTGCTGTATAACTGGGATTACTGCCATTACCGGGATTACTGTGCTGTGTAACTAGGATTACTGCCTGAGCTGTGTAACTGGGATTACTGCCATTATTGCCTGTGCTTTGTAACTAGGATTACTGCCTGTGCTGTATAACTGGGATTACTGCCGTTATTGCCTGTGCTGTATAACTAGGATTACTGCCTGTGCTGTGTAACTGTGATTACTGCCATTATTGCCTGTGCTTCATAAGTAGGATTACTGCCTGTGCTGTATAACTGGGATTACTGCCATTACCGTTTGTGCTGTATAACTGGGATTACTGCCATTACCGTCTGTGCTGTGTAACAAGGATTACTGCCTGAGCTGTGTAACTGGGATTACTGCCATTATTGCCTGTGCTTTGTAACTGGGATTACTGTATAACTGGGATTACTGCCATTATTGCCTGTGCTGTATAACTAGGATTACTGCCATTAACTGCATCTGCTGCATAACTGGGATTACTGCCATTACTGCCTGTGCTGTATAACTGGGATTACTGCCATTATTGCCTGTGCTGTATAACTGGGATTACTGCCATTATTTACTGCCATTGCTTTGTAATTAGGATTACTGACATGTGCTGTGGAACTGTGATTACCGCCATTATTGCCTGTGCCATAAGTAGGATTACTGCCTGTGCTGTATAACTGGGATTACTGTCATTACTGCCTTTGCTGTAATAGGATTACTGCCTGTGCTGTGTAACTAGGATTACTGCCTGTGCTGTATAACTGGGATTACTGCCATTATTGCCTGTGCTGTATAACTGGGATTACTGCCATTACTGCATCTGCTGTATAACTAGGATTACTGCCTGTGCTGTATAACTGGGATTACTGTCATTATTGCCTGTGCTTCGTAACTAGGATTACTGCCTGTGCTTTGTAATTAGGATTACTGCATGTGCTGTGGAACTGAGATTACTGCCATTATTGCCTGTGCTTTGTAACTAGGATTACTGTCATTACTGCCTTTGCTGTATAACTACTAGGATTACTGCCTGTGCTTTGTAACTAGGATTACTGCCTGTGTTATGTAACTAGGATTACTGTTTGTGCTGTATAACTGGGATTACTGCCATTATTGCCTGTGCTGTATAACTGGGATTACTGCATGTGCTTTATAACTAGGATTACTACCTGTGCTGTGTAACTGGGATTACTGCCTGTGCTGTATAGCAAGGATTACTGCCATTACTGCCTGTGCTGTATAGCGAGGATTAGTCATTACTGCCTGTGCTGTGTAACTAAGATTACTGCCTGTGCAGTATAGCGAGGATTACTGTCATTATTGCCTGTGCTGTATAGTGAGGATTACTGTCGTTCCTGCCTGTGCTGAGTAACTAGGATTACTGCCATTACTGCCTTTGCTGTATAGCAAGGATTAATGTCATTATTGCCTGTGCTTTGTAACTAGGATTACTGCCATTACTGTATAGCGAGGATTACTGCCATTACTGCCTTTGCTGTATAGCAAGGATTACTGCCATTACTGCCTGTGCTTTGTAACTAGGATTACTGCCATTACTGCCTTTGCTGTATAGCGAGAATTACTGTCATTACTGCCTGTGCTGCATAGCAAGTATTACTGTCATTATTGCCTGAGCAACGAGGATTACTGCCTGTGCTGTATAGCGAGGATTACTGTCGTTCCTGCCTGTGCTGTGTAACTAGGATTACTGCTATAACTGCCTGTGCTGTATAATTGGGATTATTATGTTATAACAGACTGGATAATCAAGGAAGACGCCATCTCATCTACTACTGTCTCCAGCCTCTACTCACCCTCCTCATTGACAGCCACCTCTGGAATCAGCATTTCATCCTTACAGTTCTCTCTGCCGGGGACGAGGCGCTGGGTGATGGGGCGGTAGGGATTACCATCAATGTCCACTAGGAACGGAGGTGGCATCAGGTGGGGAGGCTGCTGTGTTTGTTCGTCAAGCACATAGTTATTGGCATCACGGATCAGCGGACGGTAATCTGTGTGAAAAAATACTTCTTTCGGTACCTGAAGAGGGAAAAAGACGTATGCAAAGTCATTGCTCACTCCTACTGACTGCAGACTGTAGATGTGTGCAAATCTCAGATCTGCAGTTACCATGATATAAAAACTCAAGACTACTCACCTCTGATGCAGAACAAGGACATAGTATCGTGTGTGAACCCACACAATGTCATCATGGTCATATTGTCACACAAAAATAACACTGTCTCTTTCAAGCAAGTGCACAAATCATAATTTTAAAGATACAGATTACAGCTGTGTTTGTAGGCATGTGTCTTTTGACTGGAGCTGCTTACCTTCTGGTACTTCTCATTTGATCCAAATCCAAACATAAGCAGATGTCCATGAGAGTCAACAGCTGCAAAACTCAGACCGTCTGGTGCAAACTTACAGTCAAAAACTGCACCATGCCCTTGACCTTCAATCTGTCAACAAACCGCAACATGATCACTTGGACTGTACTTGGGTTTCAAATGGGCATGAGACACTGTGTATATACTGTGTATACATGGATGTATCGAAAATACTCAGTTCAGCCAACCCTTTTGTCAAAATCTACTTGTCCTGAATTGAAGGGTACGTTTGTGGAAAATTAAACAGCCAAGATCAACTTGCCAAACAGTTCACAAAAACAGACACAGCTTTTCTGCACACCTGATATTTGCATTTTCCGTGATGATGGAAGACTTACCATGTTAAAGAATGTTTTGATCTTATTCCCTGTCTGCAAGTTCCAGATAACGATGTTGCCATCATGGCCAGCACTGAGGAGGATGCGGGCATCAATAGGACTTGGCTCCAGCACAAACACTTCATCTTGGTGACTCTGTCAGGGCAAGCAACAATTTCTTGAAGATTTCATGGAATACCATTCTTTAAGTTACTAATTACTTGAATTTTGTATATTTTTCAAGCTGTCTTTTGTTTCTCTGATCCATCATAGATAGTCAGTCCAGAAATAAATACTAAGTGGTACAACTTAAAGGTCACATGCAACGTAAAACACAACTTTGCAGATTCTGATACCTTTAGGTATGGACTGACCTAAACAAATCATCAAAAATGTAATTTTTTGAGTAAAATTGATATTTTATACTTATCCTGACTCATGCTCTTTTGCTTGTCCCCTTCCTCTTGCGAACATAGTGGAACACTTGTATCTCCTTAATTGAAGCTCCCTTCAATGTAAAATCACTAATTGGTACTCACCCACGAGTTACCTCCCCTGCCGTGAGCGCGGGAACAGGTGTCGCCACCCTCTGGCCTCATGCTTCACTCTCTCCTGATTTTGCGAGCCCAACACTTGAATTTACAGGGAAATCCAAAGTGTTATGTGGGGAGGATGGAGGAACTAACCTCATGAGTCAGGATAAGTATAAAATATCAATTTTACTCAAAAATTACATATTTTTTTATATCCTGACTCATGCTCTTTTGCTTGTAGAATCCACGGGAGAGGTGGTGGGTAAACAGAATACTTTGGATTAATTAGTGATTTAAGTAAGTGATATTGTAATAACCCTCTTGGAACTTCATAAGGCATTGAGACTTAGGATATTTCCTTATAATAAGCCATAGATATATACACTATAAGTGGGGTATTACCTTACTAATATACTGATATATCAATATATATATATAAACTGCTACTCTCACGTGGCTGTACACTGAATATAACTCAGTATGAGCTTAAGGTTGAATAACCTAAGCTAAATATGTACATAGCCCTAGAACTCCATGGAGTTATAAGCTAGTGAATATATGTATCATATATCTAATAATCTCTCGTGGGGTGAATATTAACGCCTCGAGGGACTGTCAATTGCTGAGCGAGGACCAAAGGACCGAAATGATGAATGCCAGAGACGCGTCCTCGGTGGTGATATCTCTGAGATAGTGATTAGCAAACACCATGTTAGATTTCCAAAAGCATCCTTCCATAATTGTATTCAATGAACAGTTACCATGAAGGGCGAGGGATGCCAATGCCCTGATTTCATGGGGATTTGATGCTGTTGGAGGGTCCAGTCCTGCTGCCTTATAGGCCAAAATGACAGTTCTTATCCATATTGATATGGTGGTGCGAGAGACTTCTGTCTGATTTGTGGCTTATAACGGGATGAACAATCTTCTGGCGATCTTCGCCTTGTTTTGGAAACGACGTAAATAGATTATGAGAGCTCGTACTGGGCATAGAGATAAGTCCAATGTATCTTGAGATCCAAGAATTGAGGATAAGCGCAGGGATGTGAAATAACCTGTCTGGTTGACCTGGTAGTTGATTTTGGCGATGAAATCCCATCTTAATCCCAGGTGCTGTCTTTTGATTTTCATCAAACTGTATCCTCTCATAATCTAGAGCATGAATTTCAGATATTCTGGCTGCGTGGCTATAGCGATAACAGGAAGACTGTTTTCTGTGAGAGAAATTCAAACGTTGTCGATTCCAATGGTTAAGTAATCCTCACTTGTGAGTGTGTCGAAACTACATTCAGATCCCAAGTTGGAGCGTGGAATTTCCTTTTGGTCCTCCAATGGAAAGCACTGCGTAGTAAGGCCAGTAACTCTGGTGTTCTTGTTAATTTAACACCCGTTCTCATAGAAATCACAGAACTAAGCCGCAAGATATGTTGACAATGTCGAAGCCTTTTAAATGTTTGTTTTGCCGTGAAGTAACACAAATAGTCTGCCACTTGAGGATGCGTAGCATCTCGCCAATAAAACCCTTGTTTGTTGCATAATTTTGAAACTTTGCCACTTGTCATCGTACAAGTTACGCGTTGAGTATCGTAAGGCAAGCGTGACCGCTTTTGCCGCCCTGGTAGAATATCCTCTCTTGTTTAAAAATCACATTTTAATACAGTCCATACGTGAAGTTTGAATACTTCTGGGTTTCTGTGCACCTGTTTGGTGTGAGGATGTATTAACAGGTTTGGCGCCGCTTGGGTAGTTCTAGTGCCGGTTGACCGATATCTTGTATTACATGGAAACTGACGCTCTGGCCGGCCAATAGGGCGACCAAAGTGAGTTGTAGGCTCTGCGTTTGGTTGATTTTCTGTAATACTAGAGGTATTATTGCTGGGCGAAACGGCGACGCATTGAGGCCTTCCCATGAAATGCTTAGAGCCGCCTGTTGCCCATGCTTGTGGGTCTGCACTGGTGACACGAATGTCGGTAGTTGATTGTTGAACCTTGTGGCGAATAGATCTACTAGCTGGCTCCTATTTGCTTGATTATCTGTGCAAATATCTCTGTATTGAGCATCCATTCTGTCGTGACGGTAGATGTGGCGAGAGAGTCGTCTGCTAGTATATTCCTGGCTCGGGAATGTGGCATGCTTTGACATGTAGATTTAGATCTTGGATTAATTCGAACAGTTGAAAGGTTAAATTCAAAAGGTTCGGCGATCTCGTTGAGCCTTGTCTGTTCACATAAAAACGCCACTGTCGAGTTGTCGGTATGTATCATCAGGTGCGCATTCTGTAGAATGTTGCTCCAATGTCTTATGGCGTTGATTACAGCTTTCATCTCTAATGCGTTTATGTGGAGTTTGCTTTCTAGCTGAGTCCATAACCCTGATGCCGTCCCGTTGGAGAGATGAGCTCCCCAACCTTGGAGCGGCAGCGTCTACATATAGATGGGTCTTGAATTCCTGCTCTGCTAAACAAATCCCTTCGCAGACATTCGATTTCTTTGTCCACCATAATAGATGAGGTCTGAGATGTATCGGTAGACTGAATGGTTGTAGGTCGCCGAGATGTGTATTGACGAAGACCTGTAACGGACGAACTGTAATCTGCCTATGACTGTCAAGTCTTGGGCTGATGTTAGAAGACCTAGTAAGCTCTGCCATTGTCGAAGTGGTAGCGGTGACAGTAGAGCTGGTGGAATGATCTGTTGGATCTTGAGCCAACGGTCTTCTGGTACGACTATACGGTTGAGATTGGTGATAAATCGGATTCTAGAGGTGCAGATCTTGGCGATGGTACTAGGTCCGACTTGTGTAAGTTTACTAACCATCCCAGCTGTGTTAGTAGCTTTATGATGTAGTTTAACTGTAGTTTGAGATGCTGTGGATCTTGATCTACTTGTATCCCGTCGTCGAGGAAGAACGCTCTGCGTGTACTTTGACGATGTAGATAGATAACAATCGGTTTCGTTATCCTCGCGTGAATAACCATGGGGCTGATGCTATTCGAATGGGAGTACTTTCCACTGGTAATGTAACCCGTCTAAGCGTAAACCGAAGGTATTTCCTGGATTCGGGATGTATTGGGATGTGCAGATAAGCATCTTGTAGATCTATACTGCCCATGTAGTCCATGGGGCTTAATCATCTGCCGTAGCTGCGGTAGATGTATCATAGTGAACCTGGGTGGTCTGTTTAAGTAAGTCTTGTTGAAGAAGCTCATGTTGTAAATGAGTCTGTATTTCTCCTTGGAGTTCTTCTTGGGTACTAGGAAAACTGGGAGTAGAAACCTGGTTCGATGTTTCCTTGCTCTATTACTTCTATGGCCTGCTTGGTTAGGAGTAATGTAACCGCCTCTCTTAACTTTAGTAGTTGTTGTGCCTCTACCTCGAACTTGTGAGGGTTGACTGTTAGTGGAGGCTTGCCTGTAGTGGGATCTGAGAAATCGCTGTTGAAGAATGTTGGAGACATAGGTGTCTTGAAGTATTCCCCAGTTTCCCAGTGTAGTTGAAGACGTCCACCCACTTGTGACGGTTGTACTGGAGCGGCTGGGGGTGGAAGACTCCAGTCGTTCGAACCTGTCTTTCAGCGTTTATAGTTAGCGGAACCTCTGGGTGTCCTGCCTCGTCCTGACCCTCCTCTATAGTTGCCATATGGGCTGTGACGAAAAGAATCTCTTCCCCTGAACTGGCAATCTTCCTGTCTCTAGCTCTTTGTAGGCCCGTGAATTTAGATCTCCTGAGTATCTTTGTGAAGTCTGTCGAATGACACTGGCTAGCGTGTCCATCGATTTAATCATCAGGACTTCTCTAGAATCCTTGGTGACTTCTTTGGAGACTGTGTCTATTCCTCCGTCAAATATGGATGGGGAAGACCACGGGGCTGTATATAGTGGAGCTGTAAAGTTCTCACCCCAGTTGCAGGAAGCTAGGAGGCCTTGACGACGAGCTAAGGTCAATGCTGCTGAGACCCCATCGTCAGATGATCTGTTAAAACTGCTGGTCCTTCTTTTTGCATCAGTAGGGCCGAGTAAATCATTCTGTCATCTTCAGAGGTCGGTGTTCGAAATCTGGAGATAAGTGTCTCATTTATTGTTCTAGATCTATTTAGACCGAAGAACATACCTGGTCATGGTTTCTATCTGAACCAATTTCCGATCATCAATCTTGTAGTACTTGTTCTTGGCATCGGAGATCAGCTTATAGTTCTCATCGATGTCTTGCGCTTTGAAGAAGGGTTCCATATTATCGTGGAGAACTTCTTGGCTGAAATTTGGCAGATGTGGCGTCTGAACCTTTGTGGCTTTGTTAAATGCTGTATCTAGGTTCTGAGGTACCGCCATAATCGGGTCGATTGGGGTAGTGTAATAGCATCTGCGCCATCTTCTTTCATCAGATAAGTCTGCCTTATTGCCACTTGGAAGGTGATGAGAGATCTAGATTATTGACCATCCAATATCTTATCTCTGCATCTGAGAAAATAATTCCTCCATCATCTTCCATTCCATCATCATAGATAAGAGGTTGTTGCTCTTCTGATGTAGGGCTGTGTGGCTCTATCTCTATATCGTTTTGACGCTTGTGGAGATCTAGTTGTAGGCTTATGTGCAGACCTGTGAGGTGATCGGCGTGGTGATC